GGAAACAGAGGAGGTGCTAACATGTGGGGGAGGTGGGGGGGGTGTCCCTGTATGTATGTGACTCTGGGATGAACCTGCAGGGTCTACGCTAGAGCGCCACCCTGTGACTGTGACTGTCTTAAGCAGTTCTCCAGTGTCCGTGCAGATGGAACTGGATGTTCCAAAACCAGGATTCAATTTCAGCTGATCAGGGTTTTCTCAACCACAGTTCTGGACGCTGGTACTTTTAGATGCACCGTCGTCCATCTCTGTCAAGGCTTCACTATCATCCTGTACATTCACAACACTTTATATTTATTTACTGCAGTAGTAAAAGGTACAGTGTAGTAACAGTGTCCCGTCCTGGAGACATTCACCACAAGGAATGGAACCAATGGGTGGGGCGGGGGCACTCAACAGTACACATAAAGATAGTAAATATTCACTCAGTTAAATCAGTGGCTGAACGATGATGTCACAGTTGTTGTTGTTGTTGCTGCTGTTGTTGTTGCTGCTGCTGTTGTTGCTCCTGCTGTTGTTGCTGCTGCTGTTGCTGCTACCGCTGTTGTTGTTGTTGCTGCCGCTGTTGTTGTTGTTGCTGCTGTTGTTGCTGCTGTTGTTGCTACTGCTGTTGTTGTTGCTGTTGTTGCTGCTGTTGTTGTTTGGCCGCAGCTTCCCACAGAGAAGGAGACAAAGTGGAACAGAGCGACGTACGGACGTACGGACTGAAGCTCCAACGTTCCTCTGAACTGCCTTCTTAATATTCCTGTTGTCGTCTCCAGGAATGTCTCTCCTTCTTCGCCCTGTGTGAAGTCCTCTTCTGAAACCTTTGCTGCGTGCTTTGGCATTCCTCACCATTCTGAGCTCTGTTTGGGTTAGCAGAGGCAAAACACAGTCCTCGTCCGACGGCCAAGAAAAACAAAAACGATACGTCCAGGCGTACGAGCCTACAGTAAAGCCTACAAAATATTTCTCTAATGATGGCAGCAGGGATCGCTTTCACTTCCTGGAGGCTTTTTCTGCCTCCTGGGAGCGAGGGCTCAGGAGTCGGAGCGCCGCTGGACATCTCTGTGTCACTTTTTAAAATGTCACCTTCTTTTTTAAGAAAACAGAAAGAGTCAGAGCAGATATTTAGAGAACCCAGCTGTGGAGGGTTGGAGTATTATGGTATGTGGACGTGGTGGCTGTGATGGGTTAACTGGAGCAGCAGAGTCCAAGTTTAAAACGGTTTAGTCGGTAGTTTACTTCACAGATACTGTGATACTACTGCGTTCCTTCACCCTTTGATGCAGTTGTTATCGTAAGCAAAGTTTAGCATCCTTTTTCCTCTAAACAGGATCATAGATGTCAAAACTTAAATTATTTTCTGTCAAAGAAAGAAACATACGCAAGAGGTGTCGGATACTTCATTCTAATACTTATACTTAGATACTTAGATACTTTGAGTAGCATTGAGACTTAATTGACTAATAATAGTCACTAGTCAGTTGTCAGTAGTCACTAGTCAGTTGTCAGTAGGCAGTAGTCAATAGGCAGTAGCCAGTTGTCAGTAGTCACTAGTCAGTTGTCAGTAGTAAATAGTCAGTAGTAAATAGTCAATAGTCAGTTCAATAGTCAGTTGTCAGTAGTCAGTAGTTAACTCATTGGAACAGTTCAGGTTAAAGGAGGACAGAGAATGTGCTACTGGAGTAAAAACAAAAAATACTCACTATCAACAACAACAACAACAACAACCACCCCATCATTTCCCATCCAACCTTGGTCTGTAAACCTAACATAAAACAAACCGTTAAATATCTGAAACTAATAATAATAACCGACGGAGTTTTTACTTATTTTCGTACTAACACGTTTCTCTGTACTTTTCTCTGCCAAAACATTTAAAAACAAAAAAAAAACTTAGAAATCCCAGACGAGGTCAGTGAAGGCAGCATGTGGTAAGTTATAAAAACACAAGTCAACTGTACGAAGCAGATGAAGCATCGGTGTTTGATGAAACCCTGTTTTTTTCCCGATGGTCGAACCGTTTCTATTTGGGCTCGTGTACCAACTTTTCTGGGAGCTGACGTCCTTCCCAACATCCCAGTTTCAGCTCCGTCCCCGGCAGCTGCACAGGAGTTGGGATTAACTTTTTCTTCCTACATCCTTTAAACTGACCGCAGCTGCAGCCGCTGTTTGAAAAGGCAGCCGTGAAGCTGCCTCCCCCGTCTCCCCCATCTCCCCCGTGCTCTCAGACAGTTTATTAAAAAAAAATTTTTTTTGCAGACAAAAGGCGAGCGAAAATGGCAGCCCTGTCTTATTTTTATAAGCCCTGGGACGCCATATTCTGCAGATCGGTTTATTATAAGCAGACAAACCTCCAGATGTGACGCTTTGACGCGCGTGACGCGCCTGGTTGTGGCACATTTGCATTAAGGCCACGACGGATGATTGTTTACTTTGATTTGCAGGTTTGAATAGCCCGGCTCCAGGAGAAAAAAAAGGCTGACACTTCCTACAACAATCCCCATGCCTTAGCTGAAAACCCGAACCCCTGCCTTCACACTGACGCCGAGCG